TATAATTTATTTTTGATATTTGTTACGTTATTGGTTTCCCATTGGTTTGTGTTTCATGTTTCCAGTTCCATTTTGTTACATACTGGTTCCATACACGTGTCTGCAATAGACAAGTCGGGTCTCATGACCACCAATTTAAGAAGGAAACTCACAAACCAATACCATGACGTAATCAATCATTATAGTGACATTTCGGAGTACAGAGGTAAAGTATAGTAATAAAACAAAAATAAAAACAAACCACTGTCGTGACGTACTCAATCAGTATAGTGAGATTTCGGAGTAGAGGGTGAGGTAGAGGTAATAGAATAAAGAAAGTAAGATTAGAGTGCGGACATTGTTGTCCGAAGTAAATCTAAAGAGTAACAGTTTGGGGTTTCAATATAGTTACTGTTTATATTTGTATTTGTATTTTTACATGCTTCGGTTCTAATTAATTCTCTGATTGTATAATAAAAAGGTGGGCATATCATCAGAAAGTGTATACAGGCGTCACCATTGTCGTTGGTGAAATGTTCGTTTTCTTTCTCCGTGAAGAATTCCGTCGGGAGAATGGCTCTTCCAGGTCAACAGGCAATTTGGCCTCGATTCTTTGCAAAGCAGAGCTTCTTCACGTCATCACCATCCACTCCATATCGTTGTATAGGCGGCTTTGGGATGACGGCAGAATGTGCGGAGGGGTCCCTTTGCAAGCAAGGCGCTGGCAGGTGCGTACAGTGTCCGGTCTCAATCTGTGTGGGGGTGGTTGGTTCAGCAGAGTGCACATGTCTGATGGCTCCCTGCGGTGACAGACTGAGGAGGAGGAGGAGGAGTGTTATCCACCGAGCTCAGTAGTCCATCGGACGGCAAAGCCATTGCTGTGGTGTACGCAGTGTATGTGTGCTGAGGGGGAATGAGAGGGAACCACAAACACACACAGAGAAATACCTCTCACGCAAAGGACAGAGAGACACATTTGCAGCAAGCATTAAAGGCATCATTCACACATTAGGGTTAGCATTCAAACTCGATGCGATTATTGATTACCTTGTAAGCCTTGGCAGGAGGAGCCGTATCGTTCCTGAATATATTGATATAAAGTTCATAGTCTTCCTCTTTGATATGGTGCACTACAACAGAATTCATTTTACATTTCGGCTGTAGTATCCTCGGTCAACGTTATGAAACCGACAAAGCGGTTCACTTACAAACGTAATTTTACTGTGCAGTTTTCTCTGCAGCACATACCCCACCATCCTATCCTCACGATGGATATACAACGAGAGAAACTGA